AGATGTTACTATTATCAGTCAAGGGGTCTGGCCAGACACATGGCTGCTAGAGGCCATTCCAATACCAGTAACGGGGGTTGGAGGTACCCAATCTACTAGATTAAGCAGGCACTTGATTCAATGTGCCGTAAAAGATGGAAGTATTTGTACCATTCGTCTGTATGTGATGAATGCACCTATTTCTTTATTAGGACATGATGCATTAAGCCAGTTGGGAGCACGGCTAGTTACTGGTAGTGAGGTTTTTTGAATGCGGCCATTGGTGAGGGGTGACCAATCCTGAGGCTATCATGGAAAACAGAAGATCCTGTTTGGGTTGATCAATGGCCGCTGTCAGCAGAAAAGATTGCCCATCTCGAAACTCTTGTACAGGAGCAGTTGGAAAAAGGTCACATCAAACCAACAACCAGCCCTTGGAATACCCCAGTGTTTACCATTCCGAAAAAATTGGGTAAATGGCGGTTGTTACATGACCTTAGGAAAATTAACGAGGTTATGGCTGACATGGGGGCCTTACAGCCCGGCCTACCTTCACTGAACATGATTCCAGCGAATTGGACAATATTGATTATAGATTTAAAGGACTGCTTTTTTACGATTCTGCTGCATCCATATGGTTATCAAAAATTTGCCTTTTCGGTGCCATCAGTTAATAAACAAGCACCGATGAAAAGGTACCACTGGGTGGTGTTACCACAGGGAATGAAAAATTCACCAACAATGTATGTGGCTTGGGCACTTGCTCCTGTACGACAGGCACACCCAAAATTGGTTATTTATCACCATATGGATTATATATTGATTTCCAGAGAAAAACTGCAGCTTGACACGCTGATGACAGAAATAGAGGAGACGTTGAAAATACAAACACGACCAGCCTGGAAATATCTTGGCTGGGAAATTACCAAAACAACAGTGAGACCCCAGAAAATAGAAATAAAATTTGACATAAAGACCTTGAATGATATTCAAAAGGTACTGGGAGATTTAAATTGGGTAAGAGCAATTTGCGGTTTTACCAATTCGGAACTTGCCCCTTTAATGATACTCTTAAAGGGAGGGGAGGGAGTGCGGATGCACCTCGAGCATTGACAGAAGAGGCAGAACAAGCTTTAAAAACAACAAGCAAAAAAGTCACTGCAGCATATACATATTGCTGGGGTCCTGACTATGATACTGGCCTTTTGCTTATTAACCACAATCGTTATCTTTTTGCATTGATTATTCAGTGGGTAATGGATAAGGACCCACTCCGCATTTTAGAGTGGACCTTCTTGTCCATACACGTTACCGTTACCATGCAGCTTGAGGCATTTGCTCAGTTAATAATGAAGGGGAGACAGAGAATTGTGGAAATTGCAGGCATGGAGCCAGTGTTTTCGTCATACCATAAGCAGTAGAATATTTACAATGGGCTGTACAGAACTCGACTGCCTTACAGGTGGCGCTTTTGGAGTTTCAGGGGGAACTGAAGGTTCATTTGCCTCCTCACCGATTTTTTTAGCCTATCATCTCTAGGGCAATATGAGGAGCAGCCACCAAAGCCATCACGGTATCCAGTTGCAGGGTTAACAGTTTTTACAGATGCTGGGGGAAAGTCTCAGAAGGCGGCCTTAACTTGGAGGGAGGATGAGCAGTGGCATGATGTGATCATTACAGATTTCCAGGGCTCCACACTTGAGTTGCGAGCAGTGGTGGAAGTGTTTCGTCGGTGGCAAACACAACCTATTAACATAGTCTGTGATTCTCTATATGTGGTAGGAATAGTACAATGCATGGAACGCGCTTTGCTTAAAGAAGTAGATAACGAACAGCTGTTTTTATTGTTCAAGGATTTATGGCTTTTGCTAGAAGAAAGAAAATGCAGGTGTTTTATTACACATATTAGCCACACAGGTATCCTAGATGGCCTAGCAGAAGGTAATCACAGAGCGGACATGCTCGTGGCACCCACATAGGCAGCCCTGTCCGTTGATCGCTTTATACAAGCTAGGCGATCACATGAATTTTTTCACCAGTCTGCATACATTCTTCAATGTCAATTTGGCTTAATGGAAACAGATGTGAGAGGCATAGTTAAATCTTGTCCAGGCTGCCAGCAACATACCAGAGGAATAGTCGCGAGAGTTAACCCCTGGCATACTGGTCCTCTGGAAATTTGGCAAATGGACATTACACATTTTCCAGAATTTGGGAAGCAAAAGTATGTGCATGTCTCTGGATTGCTTTTTCACTTGTGTGGGCAACGGCACAAACTGAACATGTACAACGCCATATGCGGGCTGTGATGGCGGCTCTGGGTGTCCCTTGGGAAGTGAAAACTGACAATGGTCCCTGCTATATTTCTAAATACAGAGGGTTTTTTTTTGCTTATGGGGCATTGCGCATGTTACGGGCATCCCTCACTCTGCCACAGGGCAAGCTATCGTGGAGCACATGAATCAGACGTTGAAGCGCGTTTGCTTCACAAACAAAAAGGGGGAGAATTGGGACTGTCCCACAACGATCAATTATATAAAGCATTGTATGTTTTGAACTTTCTGCGGTTACCACAGGACAGCCTGGTGCCCCCAATGGTAAAACATGGAGCAGGATTAAAAGGAGATCTCGCAGAACTAAAATAAGGACAATGCAAAGTCACGGTAAAAAATGGGACCACAGGGACAGGGGAAGGGCCAGCAGACTTAATAACTTGGGGAAAAGGGTATGCCTGTGTCGTTACAGATATCGGAACCGGATGGGTACCAGCAAAATGGGTGAGACCATGGCTGGAAGCAGACTCGCGTAAAACAGATGTAGCAGGCAAGCAACCGGTACCCTATCTGTGGAAAGTGTGAACCTGCAGAAGGAAAACATGGGAGGAAGAAGTGTTACTGTTACTAGCTGTATATTGTGGTTCATAGGAGGTAATGTTGCTTTTAACACTATTATAGGAGTTGATGCTGCTTTTAACGCTAATGGATATGTTATGCTTCTTAAGCGGATTGTTAATTATACCCAAATCAAGAGTTGTTGGCTTTGTGGGACAGCAGATC